TTAATCTTTGACTTAAAATTCAATTTCTGTCTCAGGCTTGTGGTCCAACCAGTCTGATATTTTTTCTCCAATATTAGTTGAATTACACAAGGATATCAAATGTGTTACAACTGATTGTTTCAAACCGTGTTGCAAACAGGCAGAGGTTTCTTCCCAACACACATGAGTTACTGATGTGTTGAAACCTGAGGCTAAGGGGGTTTTATCTTATGCTGAAAGTTTCAGGTGACGTCCTGAGCCACACAAAGACAACAGCAAAATCCCCATTGTTTTTTATTACCCTAGGAGTCAGTGAATTCTCTTTAAAATAAAAATATTTTTCTTAGTTCCCCAGGACATTCCATTTGTCTTTGTTAAGAAGTATTTCTTCTTTTGAACCCTGTTATGACATCCATAAGGAAGTTAAATTCTTGTCTTCCTTTACGTCCAGTGACAAGGAGTTCCACGTGTTAATTCTGATTTCAATGGAAAAAATATTTTTATCCATTTGTTAACAGCTTTCCTCTACGTTTCATTTCTTTCCCTGTTGTTTTAGAAAAATGAAAGGATGAAAATGTCCTTTTCCTGTTTTCTGTTTCCTGTCCATTATCTCAGAGAGCTTATGTCTTCCTGGTTCATTCTACAGAGTTAGCAATTTCAGTTTCTTCAATCTATGTAGAGATGTTTCCATTCTTCCAACTTCTTTCAGAATATCTTCTCTTTCCTCTAACACTGAGTGTGTCATGATGAAAATGAGCACAGTATTCAATGTGGGGATATCTTCCTGGCATATACCCCATGCATGAGTACAGGCTTGGGGTGGACCTGCTGGAGAGCAGCTCTGCGGAGAGGGACCTGGGTGTCCTGGTGGACGACAGGTTAACCATGAGCCAGCAGTGCGCGCTGGCTGCCAAGAAGACCAATGGCATTCTGGGGTGCATTAGGAGGAGTGTGGCCAGCAGGTTGAGAGAGGTTCTCCTTCCCCTCTACACTGCCCTGGTGAGGCCTCATCTGGAGTACTGTGTCCAGTTCTGGGCTCCCCAGTTCAAGAAAGATGAAGAGCTACTGGAGAGAGTCCAGAGGAAGGCGAACCGGACGGTGAGGGGACTGGAGCATCTC